TGAAGTAAAGAATTGAATTAATACAAAAATTAGTCTCTGACGATACTATGAACTGCAAAAGACTTGTTTCCAGTTGAGACAGAAAAACAATCAATTCTTGACACAATCTAAAGATTTTCAAACCTTGGAGGTAGACACTAGAGCCTAGTATTTGGAGACGCACTCCATTCAAATGACACATTTCACCCGTCTACAGGTATGAAACAATTACTTGGAAATAGATGGCATTGTGCCTCAGATAAGAAAAAAATAGATTGGCTTCTACCGCGGCGGCTGATTTTCAAATTAACGCTAGGTTGTTTCAGCTTGTCCAGTCGTTTATTTCGCTATCAAATCGCTTCTGTCAGTTGCTGTATACGTGTTTTTTCTTATATATATATACATTTTTTTTTCCTTTTATTCTTCGCCTTTTTATGTGTGTGTGTTCGATCTTGACGTGCATTACAATTTTTTAAATATTCAAACGTAAACATCGGAAGCTCTCTAAATGAGCCCTTCAGTCTCTTAGAGAAAATGTTGTAATAAATAAACTTTGTAAAAAAAATAAATAAATAAACTTTAGCTGAAACAAGTATTGATTCTGCGACCTGTTTTCTGGTACCCATCTCGTAACCACTCCCTGAAGCAGGTATGGTGCGAAAAGCGTGCCTTCCTCTTCGAAAACATAATTTTTTAAAATTGTTTTTTCTCTTTTCTCCTATTTCTAGAGGGAAGGACTTCCTTTCTAGTAAAATATTGAGCTCTGTATGGTTTAAAAAACCAGTTTTTACATTCTTCAAAATTGGCTGAAATCTATGAAAGTTAAACTTAATATAAGTTATTCTGGGTTGAATGAACTTTAAATGAATTTTGCTTACACAGCTAAGTGTGAGTTCCTACATGATGCTTTGATCTATTTTGTTGTAGTGGTATAATATCAGGTTTAACGTTTCGGTACTTATACTCGTACGCTGCATCCATTTAATACTTGATGTGAAGCAATTACAGAAAAAATCTCTGTTACAAGCGTCCAATGAAAATCCTCTTATTTTATTTGCGTTGTGAGTATCCAGACAGGTCCTCAAATTCAACAAATTTTGTAATTCATATTTCATTACTTTCACTGAAACAAAATCAACGGTAAGAGTGTGAGAAAAATTGAAAAACACTCCTCGAAAAGCAAGAAGGCAGTTCTTCTGAGGCGCAGTTTTTTTTAGAGTGCTCTCAAAACTTCGAGAAACGTAAGTAGTACTATTAATCATTATTTTTGACCAACTATGACCATTGAGTTTGTGTTTCTTAGTTTAAGTTTGCAGAAATAATCTTAAGTGCATCATTTAAATCTGCTAGACATCGCTATCTTGAGACCTTTCTGCCGGTAGCCTCTTCACATTTGAGGCAATTTACTGCACTAAGGTCAGACACAGTCCGGGAGAGTACTCCTCGAAATTCTTTGTGGGGGTGTCCCGCACGGTTCTCCAAATCATGACCCTCTTTGAGACCAAAAAATGTCATTTTCCATACTCGTTTATAGACCTAGTCTCTAAGAATTTATGTCATCATTACTTAGATTAGAACGCCAAATAAAAGATTTCCTTAAATCCACTTCGTATTCGTATATTACTCTTTCTTTTTTTTGTTCAATTGAATTGAAACGACAAATATGTTCATACACTCACGTAGCTCCCTCAAAAACCATACACGATTCCGGACCAAAATGGGCAAAATGTATACCCGTTCTCAGACCCAAACCGCGCAAAAAAAAAACCCTTTGGGGCTGCACATATCTACATGGCTTATATGAGGGAGTACCCCCTGGGCCCGTATCAAGGTAACAAAACTGCAAGGCCCAGCCGTAAGGTACTTGTTACATGAATAAAAGTGGTACCAGCTTACGTTTGAATTATATAAATCAGTAATTAGAGCATCAAATTACTCACAAAGAAACCCTTTGAACTGAAGTTTTGACATGTTTTGTTGTGCTACTTTTACTGAACAGAAAAGAAGAGAAATCGAAAAATGCTGTTTGGTGTTTTACTGCAGGCATGTCTACTGCTGCTGCTGCACGTGAAGTTAACTATTGCCTCAGGTAAAACACTACGTATCGCAATCAGGTCTAAAACGACCTTTCACGTGACTCGTCACATGCCGACGCTCCTGATGGGGTAACCCTTTAAAATTTGACAAATGAATATTTTTCTCGCGTTAAATCCTTACAATTTTGTAAGCATTTAAAAATCCATAAAATATTCTTATTACAATCAATTTAAAATAATGACTACTCAATATGTGTATTAGGACCTAAAACGATAAGAAGCTTATTTCGTAGCTAGGCCCGAAAAAGCGGCCTGGCGGAGGCCGTCAATCTCCCGAACTTGACAGTCGCCGTATGGCCAAACTAATAATCCAATGAAACTAAAATTTATATTTTCATTACCAGAATACCTAGGGTGGTCTACAGGATTTCTTTTCGATTTTTCAAAATTCAAATTTTGATTTTCCCACCTCTGGTCGATATTTTACAGACATCCGCTCTCTCTTCGGGGATGCAAGTTGAGGCGACACTAGTACTAGAAATGGACCTGAGCAAAATAGATGAAGGATAGGTCGATATTGATCATTCAATGCAGTTTGAGCCGTAGATTGGCTCTAACCTTTCCTTTTCGGTCATTCCAAACTACCTCCTATTTTACTTCATCTTTCAAAAAGATTTGTTGAGGTAGTACCGCACGGTAAGAGATCTTGGAATACTGCTAGCATACTGGAAAGTGTTACGTAAACTCATTGTCTTCAATCCCGCTTGTTGCCATGTTACCAGTTGTTTAAACGGGACCCAAATTACCTCTGGAAGCCTTCCCAGTGGACCAGTGCTTCTTCCTTTGAACCTATTTCTCGGTACACTAAAACTTTTTCTGTACGAGACAAGTAATAATAAATAATAATATAGATTCTTATTAGGCGCATTTCTATCCTCAATGCGCTTTACATTATGAAAGCCGATTTAAGATCATTACATTTCTAGCCTATTGTGACATTATACATCAAGTATTGTAAAACTTTAAAAATCCTAATTGTAAAACTTTAAAAATCCTAAAACGTTAAGCATGAAAATCAATTGTGACATTATACATCAAGTATTGTAAAACTTAAAAAAAAAATCCTTAAATAAAATGTTATGTTTGTAAAAACTTTAAAAAAACCAACTTGTAAAACTTAAAAATCCTAAAATGTAAGCCATGAAAATCAATAATCAAGTATTGTAAAAGTTTAAAAAAAAAACCTAAAATGTTAAGCATGAGAATCAATTGAAAAATTTCCTGAATAGAAATGTTTTAAGTTTTGTTTTAAATGTTGTAACACTGTACGCATTTTTTTATATATTCTGGGGTAGTGTTCCATAACTGAGGTGCTGCAGTGGAAAACGCGCGTCTCCATCACTTTCTGTAGCTTTCATTCATAAAAGGTCCCCTGGATTAAATCACCGTCTGCTTTCATCAGGCGACAAACTGTTGGATCTCTGTGAAATCGCTGAGCAATGATAAGAGTCTCCTCCGTCCAAGATGGCAAGAGTCCTTTCTCAACTATTCGCTTATGCTAACTGATCTTGACTCGATCTGCAACATTGAATTTATACTTTGCTGGTGTTGAGTGATTCCCACATGCGGTTCTTGTGACATATAACTGTTAACATCAGGAGTTTTCAATTGCATAGTTTGAGTAGTATACATGTATTCCGCGCGCTGCACCAGTATCACGGTATTAATCTTCTCTTCTAGCGCAATCAGTAAGAGTGCTCAACCTAGCAAGCCTGTATTTTTTCAGATTTTCTTTTCGCAACTGCATTAGTTGCTTATTAAACTGCGATGATCTTCTCTTCGTTTATTTCGTCATCCCACAGTTTAAATGTTTAAAAATTATATTCTTCATTTTATCTTCGTCTTTCCCGGGTATATTACGAACCAATTTAATTACCTTTCTCAGTTTTTCTTGCTTCCTCCATTGGTTAGAGCGCTGCACCTGTATTGCAAAGGTCAGGGTTCCAATCTCGGCAAGGCTGGAATTTTTTCAAGCTTTCTTTTCGCAATTGCTTGAGGTGGCTTACTACAATTTTCAGATAAAACTATCGACTTTTTCAAATTAGATCATTTTGAGCAGCTGAAGGTCTCTACGGAACTGTTACTCATTGCAATTCATGTAAATTATCATGTTATCTTCTAAAAACATGTTATTGCGTAGTACAAAGCGAAATATAGTGACCGAGTACCCAAAAAGGGGACTGGAAACGAGACCTTTAAAGGCTCTTTTTCTAGCCGTACGACCCCATCTGAAAATTTCAGGATTTATTCAGTACTAAGAAATAATTTTTTTAGGAGGGGGAGAGAGAAAAATCCTATAGACAGAATTTTGCAAAAGCCAAAAATGTGGAATTTTCTCTCTTTTTATAATAACTAAAAAACTGTCAATTGGATTTGTTTGAAAAAATGTTTACGGTTTCGTCTTTATGTTCCCTAACAATCCTCAAAATTTGAACCCAGGTCGTACGGCTAGGTTGTGAGAAATTTGGCGTGGAAATTGTCCTTTTACGACCTCAATGGACGAAAGCATTGCGCATGCGTCATCGTAGGTTAGGGTTAATATGCAAATAAGGCTGTTGCAGCCATTCTGTCGTTATCCTGACCTATGACGTGGCGGAGTGGCTGTAAGCAGGATGTATCCGTTTTTAATGTCCATTGTAGTCCAAACATTCATAAGAGTATGTACATCATTAAGGAAATTAAAAATACTATACATATTTGTATGCAAATTGTAAAAACCTAAAGAGAAGCACATGATCATGAACTAACGTAGACTTTCAAAAAGTCCTTCACTATACGTAAAATGCCACTGAAATATAGGAAACTGTTGCTGAAAAGAACTTCAGGAAAATCAGTCTACGCTTCATTTGACAAAATAGTACATCCTTACATGTCCGTCTGCAAAAGTTACGAAACATTTAGAAGTACAAACTTTTGCAGCTTAAAGTGACTTATTCACCTCTTGTTTTCGCTGCAGCTCAGCCTCCTTGTCATTACGCTGTCATCTTTGATTTTGAGGATAAAAATCAATTAAACTGCTTTAAAACCATCCCAGACGCAAACGCGAATGTATCACTGTCCGTCAACCCATTGACCGTCAAGCATTTAAAGAACTCACTAAAATGGAATACCTCCGGTCCATCCACGCTCCAACTGAAGCATCCGAAATTTACTAAAATTCCACATCAGTGGCTGAAACGAGGAGGTGTAAAAGTTTGGTTCTACAAGGAAGCGCCTACTGAAAACAAAACAATGGACATAGAATTTAAACAATCCCAAAACCTTCTCGGAAAGTTCCAAGTGAATCTTGACTTTCAAGGATGGAGAGGAATTTGGGTCAAATTCTCAGAATGTAAAGTGAAAGGTAAGTCACTGAGCAAAAGGTCGGTTGAAATCGATGAAGTAACTTTTTTTCTAAATGACGCTGACACCATTTATATGGATTTACTTGGATTCGAGGGAAGTTTTGGTAAGCAGTCACGGGACAAAGTAGTTCCTCCGATCGGTGGTGTAGACCTTTATGACGCTAGCAATACCTGGCAACGTACATACCACTGGAGTCAGCAACGATGTCCTGCATTGCCCCTGGAAATTGACGATAAAAAGGTAAAGAGCTTAGAGCTTATCACAGCTCGAATGAGAAATTGGTTTTGCGACGAGAGCAAAACGTCCTCCAACTTTGTGAAAGATTCCTTCCATGACAAAAGATGGAAATCCCTCATGAGCACTGTTAAGCGTGCGCATAAAGAATACGACAAATTGAACTTCGATGCAGACGGAAAGGTCGTAGGTCCTCCTTTGTTTTGCAGAGACTGCAGATATGGAGCGAAAAAGGATAAGAGCACAAGAAAATTTGGTTTTATCTTTGAAAAAATTATGCTTCCTTTGGCTCTGGAATACTACTTGCGATCACGACCTAACGAAATAGCAGAGGCTGCCAAAAAGCATCTGGAGGAGCTGAACTCTGGAGACAATGACAAGGAAAATAATGCTTATAATGCAATTGCAGGGGAAGATGAGGGAATGAAAAAGCTTTTTAAAGACTATTTACCAAAACCAAGGCCACTTAAACAGGAAGACGTGGAAAAAGCGATAAAAACTCTAAACCTTGATCGCCTTAACAAGATAAACAATCTTCTTGATTTTGCAAAACAACAAGGATTTACAGATGGCAGTGGCTTCGGCTCGTTAGATCATGAATGGAACAGAGACGGTGCCGGATTTATGAACACGTTGTTCCTTCTCCGAGACTCTTTGAGCATTCCCTCAAATAAAACGAGATTGCTCGACCTGATAGAAACAGCCAAATGGTACAACGACTTTAGAGAGATTTATCAGTTACCAGAGTTCGAACTTAAAGGGACAACTGCTGACCGTATGATAACGCTCCTGCTATACAGACTTATTATCGTTCTGGTGATGCCAAGCGGCAACGAGGACGAACTCAAAGCCAAAATTCGGGACATGGATGCTTTAGTTCGGTGGTCCAATAACGCAATGGCTGTGAATGAAGGCCTTGGGGGAGTCATCAAACCAGACTTTGTAGGATTTCACCACAAAGCGTTTTATGGATCTGCATACGTTCCACAAGCCTTACATGTAGCAGCGTTGGTTCACTACCTTCTCGGAGGAACTGAATTCGCTTTGTCAGCTTCATCTACCGAAAACATCAGACGAGGGCTTGAAACGCTGCGCATAATAGCAGTGAAGTCCTCAACGCCAAACAGTGTCAATGGACGTTTTCCCCATTACTACAACAAAGCCCTTATCAAGGCTGTATTACCGGGATATGCTTACATCAGCGTTTCTCATTCATCCAAGGTACTATCAGCATTGCCAACAAGTATAACGGTTACAAATGGGAGTGGAGCGGAAATGTTTTTACGCTTGTATGACGATCCTGACGTGAGTAGTTACTTAGCAGATGGAGGCCCTAAAAAAGCCAAGTGCTATCTCAACAGTTTAGGATCCCTGGACATCATGGAGGCAGTAAGTAATTTGCTTTTTTTGGTAGACATTTTTGTTTCTCAGCAGGTCCGTGGCAATGGGGATATGCTTAACGAACAATACAGACGATATACACGATTGTTGTATAACCCAAATGAGAACCATCTTATTCAGTCCCAAAATGTAAAGTGAGTATTTTGATCACCAAGGGTTAAAAATCATCCTTTTTCAGTCCCAAAATGTAAAATGAATATTTTGATCACCAAGGGTTAAAAATCAAAAATAAAAGCGAGGGAGGAGGAGAGGCGAGAGAGGGAACAGCGTTCCCGCACCTCTCTCCCTAGTCCCCCTCTACTTTTCATCGCTTTCTTTACTTCGCACCGCTCTCCACTATCTGAACGCTTGCAACAGGCTAACCCCAAAGCGGTAATAATATGAATATAAACATACGCGTAAACAAATAAAAGCCATTCTTAATTTGTATTAGGTGAAAACCGTTGCAGACGCTCAAGATGTATTTCCCGAGCCCTCCCCTCAAGGTCACTGGTCCAAGAACTTTGCAGCTCTGTCTATTCACCGACGCAAAGACTGGGCTGTGACTGCAAAAGGGTTTAATAGTTTCCTCTGGGATTTTGAAAACTCTAAGGATGAAAATGTCTTCGGAATGTTTTCCAGCCATGGTGCTCTCCTCGTTGCAAACAGTGAAAAGAGTCTTGAGGTCCACGATGTCGCGAAAGGATGGGATTGGGCCAAAGTCCCTGGTGCTACAACCATCGCCATAGGAACTCCCGACGTTGATGAATTAAAATTGAAAAAAGCTAGGTTTTACAATCCGCGGCCTCTGGCTGGAGGGGTGACGTTTAAAGGTACAAACAAGCTTGAAAACAGACTCTTTGCCATGGACTTTGAACAACCAAACTACGATTTTAAGGACTGGCGAAAGAACATCCGTTTTATTTTTAAGAAATCGGTGTTCTTTTTTGAAAACTTACTTGTTTGCTTAGGGAGCAACATTCGGGCAGCAGAAACAAATGGAAAGTCAGTTCAAACGACGCCGTTCCAAGACAGGCTTCTAGATGGCGTAACGTCATCGTTTATCACAGTCGATGGCGTTAAAAAATATCATGGCAATAAATTTGATGCACTAACTCCAGGTTCTGGAAAAAGTTACACATCTCTCACTGATGCTAAAGGCAACTTTTACTACATACCGGAGTCCAGTAAATCAATCTTGAAAGTCCACGTGAAAGATCAACCTTCCAAGACTGATGATGGAGATAAGGATACATCTGCACGTTACGCTACAGCATGGATCGAACATGGAAAGTTCCCCTCGAGTTATGAATACGCTGTTTTGATTCCTACAGATGGGTACCACGAAAACCTAAATAATATCACAACGGATCAAAGGACAGCAGGAAAGGAAGTTTACAAAGTTTTGCAGAAAGATGAGGTCGCCCATATAGTTCAGTTTCTGAAGTCTCCCGAGTCGTGGGCAGTGCGTAGTAACCCTGTTACAGGTTATGCAATGTTTGAAGCATCAGCGTCACTCCCACCTGATGGTCCAATAGAGGCGGTGAGTGGACCAAATTGTCTCATCATGGCAGAGAAAACAGCGGATTCAATCTACATCAGTATCAGCTCTCCCGACTTAAATCTACCCACTAAAAATGGTCCTTTGCGTGGATCAGACGATGTGGGACAAGAGGAGCTGTACCATACATCAAGTGCTGAGAGACAACTAGAGGTGACCCTGAGAAGAGAGGTCCAGCAGAGCATTGTGTATGTCCAAACCCACGGAAATCCAAAGTGCTACAAAGCCAATGTCTGGGTTTTATCTGATGGTAAAACAGTTCGCTTCTTAAATCTCAAAAATGGTTTTAGTGTTGAGGTAAAATTGATGTTGAAGTAAAAAACGGAAAGCAAAGCATGAAATAAAGTAAATTACTGAAAAGCTTGAACGTAAGTGTCAAATTGAATCGCAAGTAACACGCAACACTTAGCACGTGGGACGTCCGCATGGGACTACCTTAAGAATAATTTTCCTACATGATTTACCTTAGGTGAACCCAAAGATCCATAGCTTTACCTCGTTAGAAAGGTGAAAAATCAACTGATATGTTTAGCATCTTCTACCTCTCAAAGCCCCGCTCAACACCTTCAATGATCTCGACTCTTTGAAGCATTGTCTCAAGAGTCATTTATTTAAGCTGATATCTGGACTTGCCAAATGTTGACATCTGCAACCCCCCCCCCCCCCCCCCCCCCCCCAAACAGACGCAACGAATTACTGGGAATGGGTTTCGAATTTCCCTTCAACCTGATTGGCAAATCGACACAGGCTTTTTTAAAAGGGGAATCATGGCGCGTACTCAAATCCTGGTACACAGGTGGAGCCCAGAACAAGGATTTCTGTGTTGTTTCGCAGACGGACTTAACTAGAAGTTTAGTTCAGTCTGTGGCGCGGGCTAGCGAGATGACAGGCCATCATAGATTAGACAAAGGACTTTCTCGGGTCTAAGTGGTTTTCAAACTCCCCAACATGTTTCTGTGACGCTATATTAACCGATCATGTCAGAAACAAAATTCGAAGATAGGTATTAGTAGTATAGAGCGCAAGAAACAAATAATCTCTGCCTGGACCTGAGGTCAATTTAATAAAACTTTTACAAGTGAAGCTATTGTTTTAGAGTCTGAAGACAATAGCTACACTTGTAACGTACACTTGTAAAAGATTTATGAAATTGACCACTGAATGCAATTTGTGTTTTATTAATTTTAATGAATTCAGCGACGTTAGGAGTAAAACTTGGAGACATTTCATTAGGAGATGATCACTGGTTCGAGGCCAGACGTCTTTCTCTCGCTGAAATTAGCGCGCAAAGGAAGGCGAGAAGGAAAAAACCGGCTTCGCATCTCCCGTTTTTCTGCGGTCGAATGCAACAAGTTTTAAGGGCGCAGTTTTTCTGTTGACATAAAATGAGTAGTCATGATTATCGTTAAGACCTTAAAAATAGCAAGAATAAATGGAAAGCAAAACCATTTAAAATTATGTTTATTTAAGAAAACTTCCACTTTCGGATCGCTCGTCATCAACACAAGCGTACGGTGGAGTTGAAAGTCAAACCAATCTTTAAAACGCTTCATTTCATTTGCGTTCCACTTTTCTTCACTTTCTTATCACGTTTAATTTCCTAACATCAGGAGTTTCTTTTATGTGACTCTCAAGTAGAATCTCATAGCATCAGGAGTTTCGCCATTTCACGTTAAACGGCACAAGCAACGATCTTGTCATTGATTTATCCTGTTACCATTAACTGTTCCACTGCACCTTGATAGTAACTCAGGCATAACAAATTTCCATCACCTTGGATGAGCCAGTGAAGGTGGAAACATTCTAGTACGTACGTAATCATCAAGCACCTACACAAAAAGATCACATTATACAGTAATTATGAATGTATGAAAATCATATATGGAAACTGCGGAGTGAAGAATTATTTGAAGGAAGATCATCGCAGTTATATACGCAACTTATGCAATTGCGAAAAGAAAGCGATCGCAGAGGTCAAGGGTTCGAATTCCGTACAAACCTGAATTTTTTCAGGCTCTCTTTTCGGAACTGTATAAAGTTTCAATTTACATGTTGCCTAGAACCAGAACTTTCCTTCCCAGAACTTTCTTACGAGTGAGGACTAAAGTAGTTGGGACAAGTCGGCAGTTCAAGCCAGTGAAGAGACTCTGAAGACATGGATGAAAAGTCTTCTGCTCATTTCGTGTTGGGCTATAGCATCAGACTGAGGAACGATTACAACTATCTCACACCAGAAGGGATTGATAAAGAATAACCCCAAGTCTTTTAAATGTATGTTTGCAGAGCTGGTCACACAAAGCAAAGCTCATAAAAGGGAATTAAAATTAACCTCAAGGTTTCTATGTAATTTTAGCAACAGGCAAATTAGGCGAAATAACACGAAAACGAGCAAACGAAACCTCAACATCTTGCAGTAACAGACTGATTAACAAAACATGACGGGAAAGTATAACAAACCTCTCTTAGTGCTTGACCAGTGAGAAGAGGCTGGTTGTAACTAAACCCTGTTTCTTCCACCTTGGATCCATTTATATACAAGTGACTGTCATAGAGAAGCTCCTGTTAACAAAAGTAATACTTATAAAACTTGGGAGTACATTTGATAACCTTTTATTTGGGATCTATCACAAGAAATGATCAAACATCTTACGCACCTGAAGAGTACCAAAAGACATTAATGGTCTCACTTATTGTTATTTCAGTATATTGGCCCACTCCAAGCCACATTATTTGAGTGTCAATAAAATAGCACGAAAGTACTCATTGAAGACACTGTTTTTGTGCCTCCTAATAGGGAGAATGGTGTAGCCTTTTACATGGCACAAGGAGTACCTTCATTCCTTAGTTATTTTATTTTTCTAATTTTTGGTCCGGTTCCGGAAATCGAAGCCGCGACCGCCAGCTCCGTGGTCAAGCGCTCTATCGAATGAGCTAGTACTGTCGCGGTAATAGTAAATATTCCATTGATTTTTGCACTTTTTCTCCAACCTACGCCGGGAACCCACCTGATCCAGATAGGGGCTAAGGGGAGTGGTATGAATCCCATCTCTTTCGCAAGCTTCCGACCAAGGAGTAAGGTGTTTTTCGTTGGAATCCTCAACAGTGCTCGCCATGTTTAGCTAGAACGGACAGAAAGTAAACATTGTTGAAATTAACTCCTCAGAAAATAATAATACAGGTGTATCGCGAAGATATATTCTGACTTGGGAAATGCTAAATTATAAACTAACGGTACGTGATAACATATTTAGTGACCCGTGCTGAGTGCTGAAACAAGCACTTACCCGTGCCATGTTCGACAACATAGTTCCAAAGTAGTCATGCTCAATTCCAAATATCTCACAGACAAAGTTAGAGATGCTTCCCTGGGCTGAAAGAAAATAACATATTTAATCATTTTATTATTTTGGAAGCATCACCTTCAACGCCCTCCCCATTCTCCCTTCTCGAGCCAGAAAAGATCAGGGGGAAACTGTTGGCAACCGACCCGGGTAGAGTTATGGCAACAGTGCAGAGCCAATATCTTTGGTCCAAGTAGTATAGTATGGATCGAATCGATCCCCTTTTGAGAGCGGTAATCTCAATCTCGAAGAGAAGAATATATCACCTTTGGAGAGGTCATAGCCCTTTCTTTGTCTAAGTCTTCTCGTGGAAAAAAAAGCGCACCAACTCGCACGTCATGCCATTCATAGTTGATCTCTAAACCTTTCGAAGTACTACAGTGTAATGCAGGCTATAACATAACATCCCCTTTTCCATACCAATTATACCGCAGACAAAACAGACTAATATAAGCGTCAGTGAGGCATAATTTATGAGTAATCAGAATTGAAGGGATGCAATTTAAAACATCACAGGTAATGGCTGCAATAAGATGCAGAACTCCATGAAAGAATCCTTACTGG